ACTGATAGCATATTCTTTAACTTGTTCAATACATTATCATAGTCATTGAAAAATACGTATAAAGGCGAGAAGAAATTACCTTAATATACAGAAAAAAAGCTTATACTTTTTTAACTATCAGTCGAAAAAAACAATATCAAAGTTGAAATGTTAAACGTTTAGCTGCGTGAATGCTATAAAAAAAGAAAATTCTTTTTTTCAATTTATATATTGTTATTCAAAGTTATTTTCCTATCTGTTAAGAACAATTTATTAAAATATTATCAGACCAACAAAAAAATAGCTGCAAGAACAAAAAGATAAAAACAAAAAAATAAAAACACGGACAAACGTTTTAATGTAAAACAATATTTTATGACATATATACATCTGATTCATTTTCTGTATGTATTTTTCTGCAAATATGATAACTGGATGATAGTCATTTAGACTGTTCTAATGTTTTTGAAACCTGTGCAAAACAGATATCAGATATGTTAGTTGTACTTTATTAACAACCAACTGCTAACACACGTTAAGCATCTGATACTATGCAATTCTTACCGTCATCTAAGCCTCATTATACTGAAAAACGTAACTGTTAACTTTAAAATCACTTTTTTTTTAGCTTTTCACAAATATGCATATATGTACATGTAAACATATAAACGTAATTCAGAAAATGAATAAACATGAATATGTTGAAAAGAAAGCAGTAGAAATTAGCTAGAATTTAAATTTCTTGTAGTTTTTTTAAGTGAATTTTCTTTTTTTTGAATTATAATTATATTATTTTTTGAGAAGAAAAACTTAACGAAAAAATAACACATGAAATAAAAGCCAAAAAAAACGGAAGTCAATAATAACAACAATTTATTAGTTGAAACTTACTTTTTCAATACTTTCAATTATTTTAGCACAATGGCTGAGGTTAAACGATCGTTGATTGAGATTAAAAAAGAGAAGGACGATGACGACGACGAAGAGGAATCTGGTGATGCAGAAACTAATCCAGAAACTATTGGAGAGTTTTGTAGAAGTAAGTGAGTTAAGAAGCTGAAAAAAAAAAGGAAAAAATTGATTATGTCAATTTTTGAACAAATTCTTTTGATAGCAGACAGTTGAAAAAATGGTGTTTTCGACCATTAAACTGTTTGTCATCGTTTTTGATAATTCACTTATCATTTTTGTTTTACGCCGATACTGTTTAATGCTTACAACAATGTAAAAAGTTGCAAAAGATCTTAAATTTTCTATGCCTTTTAAATTTCAAAAATTTCCTTTTTTTTCTTCTGAATCACTACAAAACTACTGAGAAAAATATTTGAATAAAAGAAAAAAACAACCTTTCTTTTCCGGCAAATCAAAAATCAAGGCGATAGGATCACTAGACAAAACATAGTCTTAAAATTTTGCACTTATATCTTTCTGCGTTTACATACTTTTCACAGCAGCAGCAGCTAATATTTAATTCAAACGATTTATAAAACAGATGTTTTTCGAATAAGATACGGCAATTTTTTGAAGCTTTGAAACAGATAAGACAGATTTTTGTTGGATAGTTAAAAAAACTTCTTTATGACGTTGAATGGCCAAACAGTAATAGAAACAAACCACAAAAAAAAAAAACTAAAAATGTTATCATTGCATGAAAGATTTATGCACTTTCGTAAAACATAACAAATTCTCAAAGAAAAGCTAAAAAAAAAAAAAAAAAGAAATAAACAAAACAAAAAACCGTAACAGTTACCTCATTGCCTCGGCAACGATATCTGTGTTAAATTGGACAAAGTAAAATGCCAGGTTTCTTCCTTCTATCGTCCTAAGCTTAATATTTTAATAGAAAATATTTTGATTTTCTTCTTCGTCTTTTATTGGCTTCTTTCATTTATCTATTTTTTTCTTTTGATCTTTGATGACTTTTCTTCTTTTCTTGTTAAATTTTCAAACAATAAAATAATTTTTGAGCTGTCTTTTTTTTTTTCTTTTCTTGGCTCTAACAAATAACATACAGCATTTACATATATTATTCTAGATAATTGCTTAGCCAAGAATAATGCTTTCAGGACAAGCTAGAAATATATTGCATTTTTTGGTGGAAGATTGGTGCCTCTCCGGTCTTCTTGGAATTATTACCGCTGTACTGTCTGTTGGGATGGATGTACTCATCGAACAGCTACAGCACTGTTAGTTAATCTTCTTCAACTTTCTTCTTTCTTTAGTAACTTTTTCTTTTGAAAAAATAATAGAAGTTTTGAGATTTTTTGAAAATTCAATTTGTTTTTTTTTTAAATCTAATCTTAAACATTTTTTTGTACTCTATTTTCTATCGCAATAATTAAACTGAAGCAACGATTGTTGTCATTTTTTGGAACTGCAGCTTCCTGATTAGTTATAAACCCAAAATCAAGCAGTAGTCTTGCTAGTTGTCCTACATTTTAATATGCATATTTGCAAAATTTTTGATTTCTAAAATATATGGTTCACTTACGCCGAATGCCACTTCTAGCTTAGAGTCAAAAACGAAGCATAGAGAATAAAACAGATAAAATGAAGCGAAAAGATTGAAAGCTTTCCTTTGACAGTTCTAATTGTGTCTGACGAAAATGGCTGATGTGTTTTTTCCGCATTCTTTGTTAATTTTCTTGCAGTACCAATTTTAAAAGTTAAAAATTTGTTATCGGATTGCTCTTTTAAAATACACCATTGATCAAACAACAGATTTTTGGTTAAAGAAATGTTAATTCTATCCTAACTAATTCTTTCCTGCTTCTGCCTCACCTTCTCTGCTATTTTCAGTGCATGTTTACTTGTATGATAAAGCCGTTTTGATTAGCGATTATTTGGCGTTGTTTCAATGGTTAGCACACGAAATTTTACTGACATTCTTTGCTGCAGCCGCCTGTTATTTCCTTTCCAAACAAGCTGTTGGTAAGTTACCCAGAAATCATGATAAACACCGATATATCAAAATTTCCAGAAAAAAAAA